GTGTTAATCATCACTCCCAGGAACTTCTATGCCTGGGAGTACCACTGGGGACATGGTGGCTGCTGCTGGTACGACACCCACCCAAGGACTTGGAACCTAGGAACAGGTGAATGACAGTAGGAAGGAAGTGGATGAATGGAATTGTGGCCCCCAGGGGTCAGAAGGTCAACAACAATGGCAGTGAAATGAGATTCATTGCCCTTCCCTCTTCCAGTGCCAGGTCCCTTGGGTGGGATGGGGTCCTTGAGTGGCTATTAATGATCCACCTAAGATACTCTATTGGTGCTAGGCCAAAAGGTGTTCTATTTCCTACCATGATGTTAATCAGGGTGAAGGCTGGAAGGGTGGCAGGGTCCCCTCCTCCCACCCTTCCCTGATTAAATGTCCCCTTGTCATCAGACTTGCCATGTTGAATGGTACTAGATTCCACCCAGCATATACAATTCCTGGATTGCTTCTCTGAAATTAACTAACTAGGTTTAGGACATGGTTTCCTCCAAATTAATCCTTGTCCTGAGTTTTCTCTTATGCTTTTTAGAAATTGCATATTATTCAAAAAAACAAATAGCTGAAAAGTTGTAATATCCAATTTTAATTAATTTTAAAGTTCAAATCAAAAGTTTTTTCTCTTGTGCAACACTTTTCATTCAAATTGAATTTTTTTTGGATTCTAAGTTTGGCATTATTCAAAATATCAGATATTTCTTTCAGCAAGTGAGTATCTCTACAGCTATTATGTTATAATGCGTAGTTATCAATTTCAATATTTGCTTTTGTAGGGGATATTGCTACACGGGAGACTCAAAGTGACACAGCTACCTCTTCACAAACTCCAGCAATATCAATGCAAACAGAACATTGTACTCCAACTAAAGTGTTAGTGGTGAGTTATTTTATAAAGTTGTAAACAGAATAATATGAAAGAAGTAAGAATGATAAAGTGCCTCTCACCAATCCAGACTACCTCCATTTTGGTGTAATGTCAGTTCTCTGTCCTTTCATTTATTCTTTATAAGGAACAGAGCTTTTAGTTCCTAAAAGATTATATGAATGCATTTCCCATTCATTGGGTGTGTATTGGTGTTTGCGATCTGCCTAACTTATGTAGTGAACAGTAAAACCAAAAAGGTGAGTAACCTTAATTTATGTACAACAGGAAATGTTTTAGCAATTGTCTGACCTGATTGTTGTACAGTTAAATGCAAGATCTTATTATTAAGATAACTATAGAGTCAAACAAAATTGCTTGAAATCCCAATTTTGGCTTAAATCAGCAAAGCTCATCAAATGGGTAAGTATTGAGTAAAATATAATTATTACCTGAAATAAGAAGAAAGAGACCCAGCCTGTCATTCCTGATATGTATATCTACATATCTAGCAACATTCTTCATAAATGCTCTCTTTACATCTTCACTGCCTCTACATCTTTTTATAATATGGTGACCAAAATTGTATACAGCAAAATGTGATCTAACCAAGATTCAATACAGTTGTATTATGACTTCTACGCCTTTTAGTTTTCTAAAAGTAAAAGCCTGGTGCTTGGTTTGCTTTTACATTGTCTTGATGTATTTCTGGTTCAAGATCCCTTTGTTCCTTTATCCCACCTAGGCTTATATTTTCCAAGTGGTAAGTGATCTCCCTATCCTTCCTATCATAATAGACTGAATTGTCTGAATTGAACATTGTTGCCAATTACTTGTCCATTTTGAAAGATTATGCATTAATCTGTATCAAAAGCTGATTTTCCATCAATGCTGTCATTTTTGAATGGGACACTCCAGCATACACCATCTGTTTACCCGACTGAACATGCAATAAATGATATGAAGGTTCCCTGTTTGTACTGCTATAAATGGATCATGAACTGTCTATTGGTTACTTGTAGAAATACCTCTTCAGCCTGCTGCTGCAAATCTACTTGTTTTTGAAGCTTTCCTGTAATTGTCTTGGGTTTTCACAGTTTCCAGGGAGTGGACTTGCTACTGCTGATGTGTTTTTTGTTGCTTCCAAATACATCTGGACATGGCAGGCCACCCTCTTGGAATTAAGCATAACCGAGAGAAAGAAGAGAGGCTTTGCAAACTGCTAGAAGAGGGAGTAGAAGGGGAAAAGATTCTTACAAGACATCATATCCACAGAGTATTTTTTTGGAAGCAATTTTTATACCTAAAGTTCAGCAAAGACCAATACAAGACTCACCTTTGCTTCCTTAAAGAGATTGTAATTGAAATCTTCTACACTTTGCAGCCATAACTTCAACCTTAATCAATTCATAGGTAATATATATCACCTACGATATATGATAGTATTATATCTGCTTCTGGCTTTCAAGGTGACTGTATCTCTAAACTCCAGGCGGCTATTGCACACCTTAGAAACCATCTTGCATTTTGCTGTACGCAGCTGTGTGGCAGCAAACAATGATGTTCTTTGTACAAAGAGAGACAGCCTCATTATATTTCATCCTACAACCAGGCAAATTAGTAGGTGTTTTCAGCATAAGAGTTTGCTTAGGTTCAAAGTTCCACATGGCACATGGTACTATTGACTGTACAGACATTGCTTTATGTTGTAGGTCATGTGTATTGTCATTGCCCTGACTGGGAGGAATTTCACTCTCAATAGCCTCCCGAAAACCCTTCGAGCTTCTAAAATATACAGTATCAGTTGTTGATGTCCAGTGGCTGTGAGTGAAGATGTTGCTTCATCATCTCTGTCTTCTTCTTTTGTTTACTTTATTGTTCAGGCAGGTTCCATTTCTTGTATATATGAAATGTGAAAAGATGAAGAGTTGGGTTGTGTTGAGGGGAGAGGAGAAAGGAAGAAGTTCGTGCATATACCCTTAGGGTTCTCAGTCAGAAGAGATCGACTGATGAGGGAGGAGTGGTGTGAGTGAAGAAGTGGGCATGTGAATACCTCATTATCAATCACTTCACCGCTAGTAGTGTGCACAGACCGCAAAGGTTTTAAATTGGTTAATAAAAGTAAAGTAATCAATTGAATAAAAGCCTGAAGTAATCAAATTAGGAGAAGGATAGAAATGGCATGGTGTGCTGTAAGTGCAGCATGTAGGAGTTTGTGAAGAGCATTTTGGTCCTGGTGAACATATACATAGTGAGTGTTCCCATCTTAGGAAGTTGGGTCCAAATTAATAAGCAGAAGTGAAAGCATAATAATCAATAAAGTCATGCAGGTCAGAGAGTTAAGTATGTGATTGAAAAAATGGTTTCAATGCATAGGGTACCAACATGAAGATTAGGGAATGAGGGAGCTGTACTTTTAGAATAGGTTCTTCTTTAACCAGGATGGGATTAGGATTCTGGTCAATTGAATAACTAGGGCTGTGGATAGCGCTTTAAACTAAAAGGTTGTTGGGAAGGGGTCAGAAAGGGCCAATTTTGAAATCTGAAGATGAAAGTAATTAATACCAATAGCAAACAGTAAATAATAGTCAAGTGCAGCAATTTGGGTTGTGTTTAACAGTAATAGTGCATCAATGAATATTGTGAAAAGAAAGGTTTGTGGCAAAGAAGTAAAATAAAACTTTTCAGAACACTTCACATTTTGTAAGAAGTGGCAGAATGGTAAAAATGGGGTCATGGCGGTCTTTAATAATAAAAATGACTTGAGTACGTAGTGAGAAAGGATGTTCTCTGAGTAGACCAGTAGGAAGAATTGGTATGGTAGAGAATAAAGCTAAATATTATGAGTGGGACCAATTTACAGGCCATCCACAGCTGTACAGTGAGGCTGTACCAAGGGATAATGCAATAATTGTGGGGATCTTTAATCTTCACAGGGATTGGACATATCAAATTAGCAAAGTAGTAATTAGGACAAGTTTGTAGAATGCACTCACTATATTTTCCAGGTCAATACATCATGAAAGCAAATAGGATTGAGGTTCTTTTTTATATCTTGCACTGTGTAATGAAGTCATAGAAAGTAATCTCACAGTGAAAAGTCCAATGGAATAGAATATTTAGAATAATTTCACACGGAGTCTGAAAGTAATGTGGGGCAGTCCAAAGAAGAATGTTACACTTTAATAAAGTCAATATTGATCGTGGGTAATTAGTGGGTAAGAGGTAGCATAACTGGTAGTGGACTTGTTGGCTGTAATCTTCCAAAATTGTCCAAGGGAAGGTAGTGTGTAGTGATAATGTCACTGGACTAGCAATCCAGAACCATAGCCAATGCTCTGGGGACTTGGGTTCATATGTCCATTGCAGGTGGAGTAAGTCAAATTCAATGAAAATCAGAATAAAGAACTGGCCTAATGGTGACCATGTAACCATTGCCAATTCTTGTAAAAAAAAATCCCATCTGGTTCACTAATTTCCTTTAGGGAAAGAAATCTGCTGCCCTTACCTGGTCTGGCCTACATGTGACTTCAAATTTGTAGCAGTTGAGGATGGGCAGCACACACTGTCCTGGCCAGCAATGCTCACATCCTGTGAATGAAGGGACAAAAAGAGTCCTTTAACAATCCAAGCAGATTGGAAGTTAACAAATGTAGCACTGGTGTTATAAGAAATAGGTAGTTGTTTTTGACTGCTGTGGACATGATGCCTGAAAGGCCTTGTTCTGTGCAGTAGTTCTCTATGACTCTATGAATCAGGAGAATAGAGAAACAGAAAAGAAAGGAAACAGAGAAAGACAGAACAGTTAGTTTGGCATTAGTCAAGGGAAAATGCTGCAGTCAAGGAGGATACAATGATTAAGCAGAGTAAACTGATGTCCCATAAAAAGTTATAATATAAGATAAAGATGAACAGGATTGGGTGTAACATATTGGGTTGAGAATTGGGCTGTCATAATACAGGTTGAGAATTGATTAACAGACAGAAAGCAGAGGGTTAAGTAGGACATGTTCAAGTTGGAACTAATGGGATGCTGCAAGTATCAGTTGCAGATACTAGGACTCATAGCCTTAGATTAAGGGATTGATCATTGAAGACTGAGAAATTTATTTGTTTAGAGGGTTGTAAATCTTTGGAATTTTCTTCCCCTATGAACAATGAGTGTTATTTCTGATGTGATTTTCTTCCTTTTTTTGTTACGGTCCACAATTATGTTCCATCTTCTCATGCAAGAAGGAAGGAAATGTGTCAGTGAGTTCCATGTGTCGAGTTTGGCTGATATAGCTGTCATAGTTGAATAGCTGTAGATATGTGCAAGCTGTGAGTGGTGGGTGTAAGGCTTGCAACAGAGCTGAATGCTCAAGGATGAAAAATGCATATAACTTAAGAAAGTTCTGGTCTCCATTTAGGAAATATGAGATTGTATTAGAGATGGTACAATAGAGATTTACAAATTTGTTGACCAGACCAGAGAATTTTGCAAAAAGGAAAGATTAGATAAAGTTGGCTCAGAGATAGTAGGAACTGCCGATGCTGGAGAATCTGATGCTGCTTGGCCTGCTGTGTTCATCCAGCTCTACACCTTGTTATCTTAGATAAAGTTGGGCTTTTTTCTTTTTGGAATATAAGAGACTGAGAGAAGATTTAATTGATATGTAAAATTATGTGGGTGTCCAGAGAGTATGAATAGGAAGACCCTATTCTCCTGGGTTGAGGGATCCATAACCAGGATTAAGAAGTACTTGAATGTACACTTACTATAGACTTGGATTCTGAAGAAAGGTCAATGGACCCGAAATTTTAACTCTGCTTTCTCTCCACAGGTATTTCCAGACATGCTGAGCCTTTCCAGCAATTTCTGTCTATGTTAAAGCATCTGAATGTCATTGTTGAGTTCTGATTGTTAGAGATTGTTGGTAGATGAGTGCTGCAGGTGTCATGAATTAAACAGTGGATGAAACTATTGCTGAAGCTGGTCGGAAAGAGCATCTGAATAAGGTGTGACTCACCTTGACAATTCATGTGAGGTCATTAAACTTTTTCCTTCACTGCATCCTTGTTCAATAAGTGATACTCCTGGAATTGACTTCTACTACTTCTTGCCACTACCTCCAGAGGTAGGGATATTGGGTATCTCTTCTGAATTACACTGCTTCCTCTCAGGCCACTAGTTCATTATCTGAAAGCCTTGGTCTATGCTGTCTTGCATGTTTAGCCACTCTTTTGATAGTGTAGATTCAGCATTCAAAGGATTTCCATGATTTCCAGTCTCCACAATGCATTTGGATAAGATATGGGCTGTGCATGAATAACATCCATGATACCAATCCTCATGCTGAGAAGTGCAGTCGATTGACAAAGTGGGGAGTGCTGGTTGCATACAACAAACATCTAAAAGAACAGAGAACTAGATTTGCTAGAGTTCGTCAGATTTGCTAGACTTTGTTAAATAAGACAGAGGTTTTCTGATCATTTTTATTTCATTTTTGAACTTAAACATCCAGAAAAACCTGCAGCTGATTTCAAAATTTCGTTATGTTTTATAAATTCTGGAAATATAACACGTAAAAATTAGAATTTATTAATGTTTTCTCTTTATATGGAATCATAAAGCTTTAACTGGTATATACTATATTGTTACTTTTTCAGAAACACCCAGCTGAACAACTTGATCTTGCATGTAAAATGCTTGAGAAAGCTTTGGATAGCATTTGCACAGCTCGCTCAGCAACTATTCCAACAAAAAAATCCTTGATTGATAATAGCCGTATAAAGGTAAATAAACTACCAGATGATTTGAATGATGAGTGCTTTTGGCTGTTACACAAGATGGGATGAGTACATTAATAAGGGAGGATCTCAGATTGGAAGAATGTGTGGAATCTGTTTGGGTGGAGCTAAGAAACAGGAAGGAGCAGCAGACATGGTTGGAGTTATTTATAGGCCACAAAACTGTATGGTAGTTTGGGCATGGTGCTAATCAGGAGACAAGAAAGTGAAGTTTGTAGCATATGCAATGCAGTAATCATGGATGACTTCAATCTGCATGTAGTCTGGGTAAACCAACTGAGCACTAAAGATGTGGAGGACAAGTTTCTGGTGTGTCTCAGGGATGGTTTTCTCGAACAGCTTGTTGAAAGTTGACTAGAGGATAGGCTAATGTAATGATCTATTGTAATGGATCTAATGTAATGAAAATGGCCTTATTAATAATATTGTTGTAAAAGAGCCTTTCAGAATGAGTGGTGAATCTTTGGAATTCTCTATCCCAGAGGGATGTGGTAGCTCAGTCTTTGATTAATTTTTGAATATCAATGGCATGAAAAGTCATGGGAATGATGTAGGTAAAAGGCCTGGAAGTTTCTGATCAGCCATGATCATATAAAATGAGCAGACTAGCTAAGAAAATGGTGTCTGTTCAAAAAGGTTACTGAATGAGGTTGTAGACTTGCTCGTCGAGGCATTGTGTTTGATTGCAGACGTTTCATCACCTTGCTAGGTAACATCATCAGTGCGCCTCCAGTGAAGCATTGGTGTTCTTTCCTGCTTGTTGTTTATATGTCATGGTTTGCTGGGGTGGTTAGCATCACTTCTGCTTCTGTTTTTCAGTGGTTTGTATATCGGGTCCAGTTCAATGTGTTTGTTGATGGAGTTTTGGTTGAAATGCCAGGCCTCCAGGAAGTCCCTGACATATCTCTGTTTGGCTAGTGCTATTATGGAGCAGTTCTGAGGAAGGGTCACCGGACCCCAAACACTAACTCTGATTTTTTCTTCACAGTTGCTGCACAGGGCTTTTCCAGCAACTTCTGCCTTTGTTCCTGATTTACAGCATCCGCAGTTCTTTTGGTTTTTATTTGGTATTTAACTCACTGCCACATCTCTTCTAGGCATGCCAACCTTGAAGACGTTCTGCTCCTCTCTCTGACGAGATTTCTGTTCCAATCTTTCATCTTGTCCACTGACATTAATTTCACTGTCACTCCTGGTGTTTGACCAAGTATTTGCTAAAACACGTTTACACGGCCAAATCACATTCCTCAGTAAGAACCTAAAGAACTGCGGATGGTGTGTCGGTAGGTTTCTTCCAGTCTTGTGCATTTGGTAATCATGAAGGTATCATCTACATAGTGGACCCACAGTTTGGCTTGGATAGTAGGGAGGGCTCTTTGTTCTAACCTTTGCATTACTGCTTTTACAATCAGTCCCAATGTTGAGGATCCCATTGGTGTTCTGTTGGTTTGTTTGAATATATGGCTGTTGAAGGTGAAATGGGTTGTGAGGCACAGATCCAGCAGTTTCAAGGTGCTGTCTTTGCTGATGCTGTTGGTGTCTTGATGTTGTTACTTCTATGGACTACCTTAGCTGCGCAAGCCAGGGGTCCCCCTCAGACCCATTGTCTCACTACCTGCCTGCCTTTCTGATTCATCCAGCAGTGTGGTAATTGTCTCTTTGGCTAGGTTGATGTTTATAGATTTAAATAGTGCTGTTACATCTAAGGATACCATTATCTTTCCTCTTCTATTCTGGTGTCCTTGATGACGTTGAGAAATTCTTGGGAGGAGTAGATGGAGTGGGCAGTGTTGTCTACTTAGTATGTCAGTTTCTGTTGTAGTTCTTTGGCTAGTCTATATGTTGGCGTGCCTGGTAGTGAGAACATCAATGGGATCCCCAATATTAGGACTGATTGCAGAAGTGGTAATGCAAAGGTTAGAACGGACAGCGCTACTCACTATCCAAACCAGACTCTGGGTCTGCTGTGTAGATGACACCTTCGTGATTATCAAATGCACAAGATTAGAAGAAACTCACTAATACATAAACAACATCCTCACTGGAATAAAATTCACAAAAGAAGAAGAGAACAATAACTGACTACCCTGCCGAGACATAATGGTGGAATGTAAGAACAATAGGGAACTCCAGACTAGCGTATACAGAAAGACAACACATACGGACCAGATAGTTAATTACACCAGCAACCACCCCAACACCTATAAATGGAGCTGCATCAGGACATTATTCAAACAAGCCGCAATACACGGCAGCAACCCAGAATTGTGCAAAGCAGAGCAGGAGCACTTATACGGAGTTTTTAAAGGGAATGGATACCCATAAAGCACAATCCTCCGTTACCTCCGCGACAGACACAACAAGAAAACACAACTAGTCACCCTACCGTACATCAGAGACATATCAGAGATGACCATCAGACTACTCAGACCCTTACGTATCAGGGTAGCCCACAAACCAACAACCACCATGCGGCAGCTACTGACAAACATGAAGGATCCCATACCCACAACCAATAAAACTAATATAATATATAAAATACCATGCAAGGCCTGTGAGAAACATTACATTGGCCAAACTGGAAGAAAACTGACAATAAGGATACATGAACACCAACAAGCCGCCAAGAGACATGACCAATTGTCACTGGTCTCAATACACATGGGCAAAGAAGGACATGAATTCGACTGGGACAACATAGCCATAACAGCACGAGCCAAACAGAGATGTCAGAGAATTCTTGGAGGCCTGGCATTTCAACCGGAACTCCATCAACAAATACACTGAACTTGACCTGATATACAAACCATTGAGAATCAAAACTGGAAGTGATGCCAACCACTCAGCAAACCGAGGCATATAAATAACAAACGGAACAGAACACCAAAACTTCACCGGAGGCGCACTGACGATGTTACCTAGCAAGGTGACAAAACATCTGCAATCAAACATACTGACTCCGTGAGCAAGTCTACAACCTCATCCACAAACCGAGCTACAAATTTTCTCAAAATCTTTAAGGTTACTGAAAACTGTAGTGATTGGAATGAGGTCAGCCAGGTGGAACTCATAGAATAGGAGTTCCCTGACTGGGGCTTTTAACCTGGTCCAGTCAGGGAGTCCTGGTTGACAGATATAAGTGGGAGTGTCAGAGTTTCTGGTCACTCTAGGAGCTGGCACTGTGCTAGCTAGACCAGTGTCAAGTACTAGGCACGTGTAAATAAGGGGTGACTTGGTGACGGGATACTCGCCTTCTTTGAAGTATTTGAAATACCATCTTAAATCTACCTTCTCAAAATATTTGAGATACCGTCAATGCACATGAATTCAGGATGAATTTTAAGAGATGACTTTAATTCCCTGTGCCTGATGGAAACAGGACGACATACAGCTAAAACAGTCTCACTGATTTATCTATGCTGTTCCTTCTTTCTTTTCATTGGTTGCAATTTAAACAACTTCACAGCTGCTGGAAGTCATTGAGCTCCTTATTGAAAGATATTGATGTAGATCTGATGACAACATGGGGTACAACTGCAATTTTAATCAAAAACCTGTGCAGCAAAGCTGTTGTAAACTCTCTGTCAGGCCAAAATGATAATCAGCAGATCCAAGATCAAAACAGGCGAGAATGATAAGTTAGTCATATTCTTTTAGTTTGCTCTTGGGCCAGGAAGAGCAAAAGTGCTCATTGCAGTCCACAAGGAGACCATCTCTGTCATGGAATCCACCTCTTCTCCACTGAGTGCAAGTCCACCCTAGTTTCTCAGTCAGGGATCATTATACTGGAACCTAGTGTCCAGCCAATTTCCCTTACGCCTTGACCCCTGGAATTTGGGATCCTCATGCTTGAATCCCAAAAAGCTAGCATCCAAGTTTAGCAGATCATGGGGATGTCAAATGGAGTATTGGATTTCGTCTACTGTTGTCACTGATGCTGTTGAGTTTTAATCAAATTCCAAAGTTAAGTATTCTGCCAAAGCAATACGCTTTCAAACTGGCCTTCATGTTACTTACCCTGCTCTGCCTCTCAATTTCAGCATAAAGGTGTTCAGAGATTTGATAAAATGAGTCCCTGATCCTTTGCGTCTGGAAATTGAGTATTTCTCCAAAAAGATACAAAAATCAACCTCAACGCAATTCTTTGTTAATTTGTATTGGGTGCTGAATTTGTTTTGTCTTTGTTGCAGGTAGAGGTGAACAGTTTTCATTCAAATATCCAACCAGATGAACAGGAAGAAGAAGATATTCCACAAGACGATTCTTATAAAACAACACCTCTCCAAAGTTTTATCGTGGATTTACATCTGGAACTTATTCAGGTTTATTACAGAGTGGCATTTAAATTTCTCAAAATGAGTAACGGTTAGTTATTAAACCTCTTACAATATATAAACCTTTAAGAATTTAATAGTACAATGATCCCAGGTGATGGTAATACTAGACAAGATGAGACTTAGAATGAAACCTGTCTTGATAGATCATAAGCTTAACTTTTGCAGTTGGGTACTGAGTTGGTCAGTCACTGAAACATTCACATGAGTCTACAGATGTTCTTTAACAACAGAACATAAGTTCATTGCACAGAAGAAAGTCAAAGTGTAGTAATTGTAATAAAATCAGCCAGCTGGACTTCATTGAATATGAGTTCCTTGATTAGGGCTGTTAATCTGGTCCAATCAGGAAGCCCTGGCTGACAGATAAAAATAGGAGTGTCAGAGTTCTGACAATCAGTGTGCTGACTCTGATGAGGCTGTGCCCAAGGCAAGGGCTTTCGATGTGTACATAAAGAGTCACTTGGTGATGGGATATGGGCCTCTGTGGAGTTATTTCAGTGACAATGAGAGTAAAGCATGTTCATGAAGAAATTCGCTTGCAACAGTCATCTTTGAGTTGGGGTAAGCATTTCTTGCAGCCACTGTTTGGAAAGCTTGACTTGTTCACCCCTGCTGTCGAAGACTGGGTCCAGTATGTGGAAAGAATGTTTTTCTGGACAAACAACATTGGGGCAGATGGAAAGCTTGTGGACTCATAGCTTTTTCTGTTATGAGGAGCCTAATTTGCCCTGAAGCACTAGATACTAAAACCTTTCAAGTGTTGATGGATTTGGTTAAAGACTATTATGACCCTAAGCCACCTCTAATTCTGAGATGCTATCTTTTTTACTCAGCAATTAGTGTACAGGGGAATCGGTATCGGGATTTTTTGACTGGGTCAAGCCGACAGGCAGAGGCATGTGACTTTGGTTTGTCCCCTAATCAAATGCTTAGAGACCAGTTTTTTTTTTATATATTCATTCCAGTGATGAGGGTGTCACTGGCTAGACCAGCATTTATTGCCCAGCCCTACTTACCCAGAGGGTAATTACACATTGCTGTGGTTATGGAGTCATATGTAGGCCAGACCAGGTAAGGATGGCAGTTTCAAAGAACAAAGAAAATTACAGCACAGGAACAGGCCCTTTGGCCCTCCAAGCCTGCACCGATCCACATGGGTTTTTCCTGACAATTGACAATGGCTTCATGGTGATCATTAGACTCTTCATTACAGATTTACATAATTGAAATTTGACCAACTGCTGTGGCAGGATTTGAACCCAGATTCTCAGAACATTACCTGGGTATCTGGATTAACAATCCAGCAGTAATACCACTAGGCCATCACCTCCCCTGGGATGTGGGATTAATGATGTAATTATGCAAAAGGGCCTACAGGTTGCAGCCCTACTGGGCTTCATACAAGGCAATACAACTGGCTTTATGATTGGAAAACATGGCATGTGGAGCATATGAGTTGCTGAGTATTCTGATGGAAGTGAACACTGTCATCAGTCTGACTGAGTTTGGGGAGAACCACTTAATGCAAGCAATTGCATATCCTCACTCAGGACATAGCCTGGTCGGAGGCACTCCAGGTAGGCCCACAGCAAACTCCAAGCCAAGCTTCAGCGAAACAGTTAAAAGTTTCTTCAGGATCGTGCCAGCAAACCATTGAAATTGTTGTGGGTATATGGATTCAAGACAGCAAAAGTGTCCTACTGGACCTAAATTGAGTAAGAGAACTCATAGGCTGGTATCCAGGAGAATGCATACCCTGGAAAGTCTGCCTACATCTGGGTTGGAGCAGTTAAATTGTTCAGCAACATCCAAATCAAAACCAATTAAATAAATGCCTGGTTAAATGGTCATCTGGTTCTAATGGGGTCAATACCAACGCAGCCGTATCAGTGATTGCACAACCAGTTTTTAACAAAATTCACATTGGACTCCAACCATTAAGTTTGTGCAAGACCTTGGCTAGGCAGAGAACCTACACCAGGGAACCTTTACAGATTAAGGGTACACCTCTAGTTCTGATCTTCTATGAGAAGTAGATGGTCCAGTTACCATTGACGGTAGGTTTGGGCCAAGCTTATTGGGGCGAAATTGGTTGAGAGAGATTCACTTAGATTAGCTCAATATTTTTCGATTTGAAAATGGCTGTCTGACTGAAGCCCGAATTAAATATCCGAACGTGTTTTTTTTCTCTTGGGAAGCTGTAGGGACTATCAAAGAGGCCAGGGCGACTTTGCACGTTAACCAGGAAGCAATTCCATGATTCTGCAATGCCCGCCCAGTGCAATTTTGCATTACAGGCAAAAGGAGAGGCAGAAATCAGAAGGCTGGAAACTGAAGGAATCATCAAACCAGTCCAGTTTGCAGAACGGGCAGCATCAGGAGTACTGATTGTGAAGACTGATGGGTCGGTTCTCTTTTGTGTGGATTTTAAACAAATGATAAACCACTTTTTTGCAGCTGGATAAATACCCAATCACTTGAGGAGGATTTATCCCAGAGCTGGCAGGGGGGCTATCCTTCACAAAGCTGGACATGAGTCATGCGTACTTGCACTTGCAGTGAGACTGCCATTTGAGGTATCTCAGCCTGTGCAGTTTTTCAGTTGATGATGGAGAACATTTCACAAGGTCTAGCCCAGGTCTCCATTGATCTAGATGATGTGCTAATAACAGGGAACCAATAAGGAGCACTTAAAGAACTTGGATACCGTCCTTAGACGGGTGTATGCCTTAGAAAGGAAAATGTGTGTTCCAGACATCCCAAAGTAACCTATTTGGGCTACAGTCAACAAGACTGGGTTACACGACTTTGAAGATAAAGTGGGGGCAATCAAATGTGCCCTGGCTCCCACGTCTGTTCTGGAGCTTAGGTCTTCCCTTGGACTGGTGCATTATCATGGAAAGTTCATAATCTGGTCTACCTCCTGGTACCGTGCATCAACTCCTTAAAGAAAGGATCAGCCTTGGAAATGGTTGTGTAGCCAAGCCACAACTTTCAGTGAAGTGAAGAAGCAGCTATCATCCTGTAAGGTGTTGGCACAGTATGATCCCAAGCGAGATCTGGTATTGACATGCGATGCTTCGCTGTATGGCATTTGGGTAGTATTAGCTCACAGGTGGTCCAATGGAGAGGAACACCCAATAGTGTATGCATCCAGGATTTTGGCTAATGCATAGCATAAATATGCCCAAATAGAGAAGGAAGGTTTGGCAGTCATATTTGAAGTCAGGAAGTTCTAACAATCCCATGGTAGGCTGCTGGAGAAAGTGAAGTCGCATGAGGTCCAGGGTGTACTAGCTAGATGGATATAGAACTGGCTGGGCAACAGGAGACAGAGAGTTGTAGTGGAAGGGAGTTTCTCAAAATGGAGAACTGTGACCAGTGGTATTCCACAGGGATCCGTGTTGGGATCACTGTTGTTTGTGATATACATAAATGATCTGGAGGAAGGTATAGATGGTCTGATTAGCAAGTTTGCAGATGACACTAAGATTGGTGGAGTAGCAGATAGTGAAGGGGACTGTTGGAGAATGCAGCAGAATATAGATAGATTGGAGAGTTGGGTGCAGAAATGGCAGATGGAGTTCAATCCAGGCAAATGCGAGGTGATGCATTTTGGAAGATCCAATTCAAGAACCGAACTATACAGTAAATGGAAAAGCCCTGGGGAAAATTGATGCACAGAGAGATCTGGGTGTTCAGGTCCACTGTACCCTGAAGGTGGCAACGCAGGTGGATAGAGTGGTCAAGAAGGCATACGGCATGCTTTCATTCATCGGACGGGGTATTGAGTACAAGAGTTGGCAGGTCATGTTACAGTTGTATAGGACTTTGGTTCGACCACATTTGGAATACTGTGTACAGTTCTGGTCGCCACATTACCAAAAGGATGTGGATGCTTTGGAGAGGGTGCAGAGGAGGTTCACCAGGATGTTGCCTGGTATGGAGGGTGCTAGCTATGAAGAGCGGTTGAGTAGATTAAGATTATTTACATTAGAAAGATGGAGGTTGAGGGGGGACCTGATTGAGGTCTACAAAATCATGAGAGGTATAGTCAGGGTGGAGAGCAAGAAGCTTTTTCCCAGAGTGGGGGACTCAATTACTAGGGGTCCCGATTTCAAGGTGAGAGGGGAAAAGTTTAAGGGAGATATGCGTGGAAAGTTCTTTACGCAGAGGGTGGTGGGTGCCTGGAACACGTTGCCAGCGGAGGTTGTAGAGGTGGGCACGATAGCATCATTTAAGATGTACCTAGACAGATACATGAATGGGCAGGGAGCAGAGGGATACAGATCCTTGGAAAATAGGTGACAGGTTTAGATAGAGGATCTGGATTGGTGCAGGCTTGGAGGGCCAAAGGGCCTGTTCCTGTGGTGTAATTTTCTTTGTTCTTAATACCTTTATGGATGTAAATTTGTAATAATAATGGACCACAAACTCCTGCTAGGTCTACTTAAAGAGGACAAGGCAGTGCCACCCAAAGCTTCAGGCAAAATTCAGTGGTGGGCTCAATACTTAAGTGCATATAATTGAGTTGGAACTCCAGAGGCCAAGTAGCAAATGCGGATGAATTGATCCACCTCCCACTGGCTGATCCACCTCTGGTAGCACTGCCAGTTGAAGAGTCTGTAATGGTTTTAAAGTTTCTGGACACACTTTCCGTAACAGCTGACAATATCAGACTTTGGACGCAGAAAGATCCAGTCCTAGCAAAAGTGAAACAGCTGGTCGTAATGGTGGAAACCAATGGGGCATTACAACTACAAATGAAACCTTTTTGGACCCAGAGAGACCAGATCACAGCAGAGGATGGCATAATTTTATGGGAAGCAAGTGTGATTGTCCCAAGTAAAGGTCGCTGCCAGATACTGACTGAACTCCACCAGCGTCATCCAGGGGTTTCTAAAATGAAGATGTTGGCAAGAAATTATTTCTGGTGGCCAGGATTGGATGTAGATGTAACTGCGTTGGTGGGGGAGTGCCCAGAGTGCCAACAAGGACAAAAATTAATGCCAGCAGCTCCCCCACATTCATGGGAAGAGCCGGATAAACCCTGGACTCAGTTACATGTCAACTACGCAGGTCCTTTCATGGGCTTGATGTTCTTAGTCATTGTGGACAGCCACTCAAAGTGGCTGGACGTACATAGTTCATTCATGAAACACAGGAATGATGAAAAACTGCATGCATCTTTCGCAATACATGGACTCCCGGAAACGTTGGTCACAGATAACAGGCCATCATTTACTAGCAGGGAATTTGAGCATTTCCTAAAGTTGAATGATATTCGACATATAAGGACAGCTCCATACCATCCATCATCCAGTGGTCTGGCAGAAAGAGCAGTCTAGACTTTGAAGTCAGACTGAAAGAAACAGTGTACTGCTTCTGCAATACAAAACTGTCCTGGTTCCTAATTGATTAATGGATCATCCCTCATGCAACTACAGGGATAGCTGCAGCAGAGATGTTAATGGGGAGAAATGTGATCTTCCAGAACCTGTGGGGGGAGGAGGGTGAAATGGCATCAGAAACGCCAGTGCCAGACATGATAAGCGAGAGAGACCGTTTACTTCAGTGGACAAAGTTGTTTTTTTTTTCTTGTGTAGAAACAATAGGTATGGCCCTGCATGAGGAAGAGGCATGATCAACATGAGGTCAGGTCCTGTGACATACGAAGTTCAGGATGGTCTTGAAAAATCACATGGACCATATGAAACCTGCAAACACAGAAATGGTGTGGGAGTAAAATGTGCCTGGCTCCTCGACAAGCTTTCCAACTTATCCAGAAACCGTGGATTCTCCCTCTCCGTCAACCATTGAAGATGCTTTGGAATCTGATATGGACATGGCGAATATCACCACCTCAATGCCTTTGTTGCCTGAAGAACAGAGTGAATCCGAGTGCAAGAGACGAGCTACTGTGTATTGCATGTCACCCGTATCTGAGGCAGAGTTGAAAGAACCTGACCTGATGCTAAAACATGTCAGGAGGAGCTACAATAAAAAAGCCCGCCAATGTCATTGGACTCCGAATGGGAGGGATGGAGTGATTGTAACAAGGTCAGCTAGGTGGACCTCATAGTACAGAAGTTTTTGGAAAAGCTCAGCAGGTCCAGCAACATCTGTAGAAAAATCAGATTTAACGTTTCAGGTCTGGTGACCCTTCCTCAGAACCTGAAACATTAACTCTGATTTCTCTTCACAGATGCAGCCAGACCTGCTGAGCTTTTTCAGCAACTCCTGTTTTTGTTTCTGATTTCCTGCATCCGCAGTTCTTTCAGTTTTTATGGACCTCATAGAACATGAGTTCCCTGATTGGGGCTGTTAATTTGGTCCAATCAGGGAGCCCTGGCTGACTGATGAGAACCGGAGTGTCAGACAATCTGTTCAGTCTGAGAGCTGGCTCTGAGGGAGCTGGATCAGTGTCAAAGACTCTCCACGTGCAAATAAAGGGTGACTTTGTGACAGGGTTCTGGCCTCTGTGGTTATTTCAAAGATCGTGTTTTACATATCTAGAAAAGAAGGAGCAGTGAGAGAAAGAAAAAAAAAATTAGGTAAATTTGGCTGAAGTACACACACAACCATTATGGAATGTTAAAGTATGGGAGTCCTAAATCACTGGGATAAAAGAGTAAATAAATCAATATCAGTGACAAAGAAATCACAGAAATTTAATAACATACCTCTGATGCCCTCATTTTTTCCTTTTACTTTTTCCTCACCAAAGAGCTACTGAATTCTGAAAACGCAACCAGCCACGAAACCATTGGGACTGATGCAAGCTATGGCTTTACCATTTTAAAAGGTAAGTTGAAACAGAATAGGATGCAGAAATCATCAAACAATTTGTGTTGCAGTGTAATGATTTAAAATGTGAGGGGGAAAAAAATAGATGGGATTTACAGATTCATGGAATGATTACAGCATGGAAGCAGGACATTCAGCTCAGTGTACCCATGCCAACTTTCTACAAAAGCAACCCAGCTGGTCCCACTCCCCTGCTCTTATCCTGTTGCCCTGAAATTTCTTCCCATCAGGTTCTTATCCAATTCTGCTTTGGAATCTCCAAATGTTGACTGTAACCCACTGCCATATTGGTATATTCTAGATTCTGACCAAAATTAGTTATTTTTGCCAATCATTTGAAAATCTGGTTCTTGACCCTCTACTGATGGGAACCATTTCTTCCCACTTGCAGTCTGTCTAATCTCTCATTATTTGGAATGCTTATATCTTATCTTCACTAACCCTTCTCTCAAGAGACCAACATTTGCTTCTCCAAGCTATATAAGTAACTGATGTTGCTCATTTCTGGAACCATTTGCTTAAATCTTTTCCACTCTGTCTTAAGCATTTACATTCTTTTTAAACTGCAGTGCCCAGAATAGGACGCAGTATTCTAGTTAAAGCCAAACCTCAATTTTATAACTAAGACAAATCATTTGATGTAGGAGCTAGAATACAAAGTGTTTAGAAAAGATAGGGAAGGCAAAAAAGGGAGGTAGGGTGGCAATACTTATTAAGAGACATGTGGTGTTGCAAAGAGGGATTGTCCCTGAGCAGATGAGTAAAGTCATTACATGAACAAAAACAGAAGTTGCTGGAAAAACTCAGCAGGTCTGGCAGCATCTGTGAAGAGAAATCAGTTAACGTTTTGGGTCTGGTGACCCTTCCTCAGAACTGATGATAGCTAGGAAAATGTCGGTTTATATGCAGAAGATAGGGTGGGGAAGTGGAAAGGAGTAAATGATAAGTTAGGATAGAGTCCAAAGAAAGAGAAGAATAGTTGGACAGATAAAGGAGTGGATAACAATCTGGCTAGGAGAGTGAATAGCTGTTAATGGAGGCTGTCAATAGCTAACACTGGCAGGCTGTGATAACAAGGCCTGGTGTGTGGGGTAGGGGACTAGGACACGGAGTTCAGACCCTAAAATTATTGAACTCAATATTGAGTCCAGAGCGCTGCAGTGTCCCCAGGCAGACCCATGACCTTTCCCCTGCAACCTCCAAACGGGTAACGCCTACCCATTTACTTCCTCCCTCTCCACTATCCAAGGTGCCAAACATACCTTCCAGGTGAAGCAGCACTTCCCACAATCTAGTCTACTGCATTTGCTGCTCACAATGTGGTCTTCTTTACACTGGGGAAACAAAGCATAGATTGGGTGACCGCTTTGCAGAACATCTACATTCTGCCCGCAAAAAAGACCCTGAGCTTCCAGTTGCCTGCCACTTTAACACACCAACGTGTTCCAACATCTCTGTCTCTGACTTGCAGCGAAGCTCGGTGCAAGCTTGAAGAACAACACCTCATTTTCTGCTTGGGGATCCTGCAGTCCTCTGGACTCAACATCGAGTTCAATAATTTTAGGGTTTGAACTCTCCCATGAGCTAGCCCGCTACCCCACATACCAGGCCTTGTTATCACATAGCCTGCCATTACACACTACCTATTGTTAGCTACTAATTGTCTCCATTAACAGTTATTCACTCTCCTAGCCAGATCGTTATCCACTCCTTTGTCTGTCCAACAGTTCTTCTCTTTCTTTGGGCTCTATCCCGACCTATCGTTTACTCCTTACTGCCTCCCCCACCCTGTCTTCTGCAAATAAACCAACATTTTCCTCACCACCGTCCGTTCTGAGGAAGGGTCACTAGACCTGAAATGTTAGCTCTGACTTTTCTTCACAATGCTGCCAGATCTGCTGAGGGTTTTCCAGCAGCTTCTGTTTTTGTTCCTGATTTACAGTGTCTGCAGTTCTCTTGGTTTTTATTGAGAAAATCCATTTGGTTGGAGTTGAGAATCAAAAAGGTTGTGATCACATTAATGGAGGTACATTATAAGCCTTGAACTAATGCGAGAGAGCGATAGAGACAAAGTGATAGAGGAGCAAATCTGCAGGGAAGTAACAAAGATTTGCAAGCACTCTGGAATGTTGACACTGGGTTCTGAAATTAACCAATTATTGATTAGGACATGCTTAGAGTAAAATGTGAGGGGAAGAATGTTCTTGGATGTGTTCAGCAGAACATAATGATTAGCATGCTATTAGTCAAGCGCAAAGGGAGGCATTGCTGGAATTGGTGCTGGTGAAAGAGTTAAACCAAGTAGTTAAGAGTGATCATTATAAAATAAGGTTTGAACCAGTTTTCAAGAGAGCAAGGAACAGTCAAAGGTAGAACATTATTTTGGAATAACAAGGTGTAGAGCTGGATGAACACAGCAGGCCAAGCAGTATCAGAGGAGCAGGAAGATGGCCAATTTCAATGGGATAAGAGCAGGGCTCTTAGTGTGACGAAGAAAGCAGAACATATAACAAAGCAACAAAAAGAGGCTGTATGATGCATGCTAATTGAATTTATCAAGCAAAAACCAAAACAGATAAGTTAAAGGGGTAGGTGAAGACAAAAAGAAGAGAGAAAAAGGGAGAATATGAGAACAGAGTGGCAGTTACCATATAATGAAACACAAAAAATCTTTTAATAGTGTTTACATTGCAGATAGGTAGATATGAGGTATTGTGGATCCTGGGTTTGTTCTTCGAGCAGAAGAGATTGCTGAAGATGCGCAGATTTATTGCAGGGAACACGGGTTTAACATTTTTGTGCAAGTAATGCAGAGGGATGTGGAGAAAACCTTTTCACCTAGCAATTTGAAATAACTTGGAACATGTGCCCAGGAAAGTGGCAGTAGCAGACATGATCAATGATTTCAACAAGTAAATTAGAGGATACTTGAACAAGCATGCTCAAGGTGTACAGCAAGGTATAGGCTGATTGGATTACTTAATGGAGAGCTGACATAAGTCTGATAGAGCTGACTGCCCTCCTTTTGTGCTGAAAGTGATTTTTTTTTCACTTATGTTGCTTCATCTTGTATAAATATCCAAATGATAATTCTATCATACTAGGTTTATTTATCTATTTTGCTGGAATGTGCAGAAAATATGCAAGATATGATTCAGGATACTTCTGAAATTTGTAAAAATGGATTACTAACTGGTTTGTAAGGATTTTAGTTTTTGTGTGGTACCTTTTTCGTTTATCGTCCAATCTGATTTCATCCAATCAGAGGCAGACATCATCAAGAAAGTCAAAAAGAACAACATGTTGAAGGCTATGTTTCTAATTCAAAAAGTGATGTATCTGTTCAGCAAGGAACAGGACCAGTCCTCCAAATATCAACTTCTTGAGGTAATCAAAGCTAATACTGTACCCACAAAGTATTCAACATTTGTCAGTTTTTTTGTTGACATTGTTGAAACGTACTAAGAAAATTTTAATGTAATTTTCAGATGTTACCACAAATGCATGCCATTGTTATAGGATCCTGTTATTAAAACTAGGGTCATTGTTTCAACCTTGTTGTCAATGAATAACAATGATCCAAAAGTTGTTTTAGCTGAACATCCATTATCAATTGTGTATAAACTAGCTGACAAATCTGCAAAACAGCAGTGGTTACACTTCAAACAAATAGCTCATTGTCTGTGGAACACTTTGTGACACATGAGGATGTGAAATATGGGATATGAATGAAATTAATTTTTCATATGACTGTTAAATTTCAGACTGGATGCTGATGTAAAATCATAGTTTTTTTTTAGTAAGCAAGCACAAAATATATAAAACTTTTTACAGAATGTGGGAGTGTTTTCGTCTGGATACTTGTCATCAGAGAGCCTCTGGTGGGGTCTTTGCTGAAATGTCGATTTGTTTTGCACTTAGTGCAACTATCTTCTGCAATAGTTATTTTAGTCAACCTGTTGACATGCTATGACACACCTCTGGGGTGGTGGGGAATGGGGGCGTTCTTGAGCCTTCTGGCTATTCTTTCTTATAGGATTTTCTGTTTGAACTGGTTTTAATACTTACAAGCTTTTACTTGCAGAAAGAAACAATGCACTTCACAAGTATGCAACCACAGGAACCCTGTTTTAGCCGTATGAAAATAGGTTGGTTGCCCATTAATATTTGCCACCTGAAAATAATTGATATTCAAGTGATGTACAAATAATATATTCTATTCTCCCTCAAATACAATTTTGAAGAAAACTTTCTATGTGCAATCAAAATTTAAATACAAAATGTCCATACTATACACAAAGCATGACATTGTGAGAAAACCCTCTTCCAGGATCCCATCCAATTTCTTTGTATGTGCATTTTGTATTGGAAAACAATGTGGTAGTTAATGACTTAAACCCACCCACTTGATTATAATGTTATTTCTCGCCTGCTTTTGTTTCATGCTGACAAAATAGATTTTCTGACTAGTATTTGTGTAAAGTATGCATGATTCCACAATGTACTATTGTCTACATAACATTCAATGGACATACTATCTTCAGTACACCCATTGTACAAGGTGCTTCTGATATTTGCTAAATAAAATACCTTATTCACTGCCTCTAGCAGAGAAGGAGAGTAGTCAACTCCTTCAAGTCTGTGTCAGCTCTCCACGGAGTAATCCAGTCAGCCTCATAGCTCACTGTATCCCTGGAACGTTGCAAGCATTTTTTTTCCAAGGGCCCTCTGGCTTACTTGTTAAAATCATTGATCTTTTCTGCTCCTTTCATCGTTGTGAACAGCATGTTCCAGATGACTTCAAATTGCTGAGCAGAGAATTCTTCCTACATCCCTCTGCATTACTTGTCCAAAATCTTAAAACGTGTGTTCCCTGTGGTAAACTTTCACATCTCATATCCGGAATTCTTTTAATAACATTTATTTTGTGGTTTCCCAAGCTAAACAACAACAATTCTTACCATTAAAGATATATATGTATAATGAAACCAGCAACACCTTGATGCCCATCAGGAAGAATAGCATGTGAAACATTGTTACAGTGAACTAGTTTCATGTTCTTTCAGTTTCCTAAGGCTGGGAACCTAGGCACATATTTCTTCAGGCTTAATTTTTGCAGTGTTTTATTTGTCCTTGAAACATTCTTTAAATATGGGTGCTTCATCAAAGTACTTAACTTGGAATTATCAAAGCTGGCATCTGGTCTAGTCCAAGGACAAATTGCCCAAATTCTACAGTAAAGTCTGCACCTCATTAGAAAACATCAACATGCGCTGTGAAAATGTTTGAAAGCTTTCCTTTGGACCAATAACATATTGCAGATTTCACTCACCGGGCTGGGTTCTGGAAGCCTTTTGAGGGAAAAAACACAGTTTGAGGATGACTTGGAATTTTCCAGAACTGGTTCATCTGTAGTTTGTGCTGTAATAGGAGTGCATGAAAGCAGACCTGGCGAAAGTGAACTGGAAGTTTAGGTTAAGGGCTTGGTCAGTAGAGATGGAGTAGCAAATTTAAGGGGATATTCCAGAAAATGTAGTATAGATACATTACAGAAAATGAGAAATTCTAAGAGGTGGAAAAATTCTAATCATCTGTGGCTAACTAAAGTCAAAGATAGTCTCAAACTCAAAAAAAGGCATAATTCTGCAAAGGTGTGTGGCAGGGCAGGAGATTGCACAGAATACACAAAGCAGCAAAGAATTGCTAAAAGATTATTAAAGAGAAAAAAATTAGAGTATGAGAGAAAGTTAACCGAAAATATCAAAACAGATAGGACAGGTTTCTTTAGATATTTAAAAAAAGAGTTAACAAAGTAAGTGTTGCTCTGAAAGAAAATGAGTCTGGAGAGTTAGTAACGGACGATAAAGAGATGGCAGATGAATTGAACAGATATTTTGAAGCTGATCTTCACTAGAGAGGTCACAAAAATAGTATCCTAGAAATGGCTGTGAATCAGAAATTGAGAGGGAGGAAGGAGCTCAAGAAAATTATAATTATCAGGGAAGAAATACTGAGTAAATTGTTGCAGTTGTGAGTTGACAAGTTCCCAGATCCTGATGGATTTTATTTTAGGGTCTTAAAAGAAGCAGTAAGTGAAAATAGTTGATGTGTGGTTTTAATTTTCCAAAGCTTGTTAGATTCAGTGAATGTATCTTTAAATTTGAAAACAGAAAATGTAGCACCTTTTTATTCAAAATGTAAGGGAGGCAAAAAGCAGGAAACGACAGTCCATTTAACTTAATCTATCATAGGGATAACATTAGAAGCTGTTAATAAAAATGTCATTACAGGGCACATGGATGAGTTCAAGGTAATCAGGAAAAAACAGTTTGGCTTTGTCAAAAGGAAAGCATGTTTAATTAATTTATTGGAGTTCTTTGTGGAAGTATTTGTGCTGTAGATAAGAGAAGCCAGTGAATATGTGGTAGTTGGATTTCCAGAAGGTATTTGGTAAGACGCAACAATAAGGTTATTGCGGAAGATAAGAGCTGACAGTGTAGAGGGTAACATATTGACATTGATCGGAGTTTGACTGGCTAACAGGAAGTAGAGAATAGGAATAAGTGAGTCTTCTTTGGGCTGGCAGGATGTTTTGAATGGTTTGCCACAGGGATCTGTGGTCTCAACTCTTTACAATTTATATAACTGATTTGGATGAAGGGACTGAAGATATAGTAGCTAAATTTGCTGATGAACCAAAGGTGGTTGGAAACTGAGTTGTGAAGAGGAAATAAGAAGCCTGCAAAGGGATATAGACAGGTTAAGCGAGTGGGCAAAGATCTAGCAAATGGAACTCATTGCGGGAAAGTGTGAAAGAATAAAAAAGCATATTTTCTAAATGCTGAGAGGTTGCAGAGCTCTGAGATGCAGAGAGATCGGAGTGTTCTCGTGCATGAATTACAGAAGTTTAGTATGCAGGTACAGCAAGCAATCGGGAAACTTAATAGAATGTTATGGTTTAGTGAGGGGATTTGAATGCAAGAGTGGGGAGGTTATACTTCAGTTATATAGACATTGATAAATCAATTTCTGGAAGACTGTGTAAAGTACTGTCACTGTACTTATGGAAAGATGTTAATCCATTGGAAGCAATTGAGATAAGGTTTGCTAATCTAATAAAATACAAAAGAACTGCGGATGCTGTAAATCAAGAACAAAAACAAAGTTGCTGGAAAAGCTCAGCAGATCACCACATACATCCATGATTCATCTGACGCCTTACACCGGTTTCAAAGCTTCCAGTTTACTGACTCCAGCCACCTCCTCTTTACCATGGATGTGCAATCCCTTTACACATCCATTCCCCACCATGAGGGTCTTAGGGCTTTCTGCTTCTTCCTAGATCAAAGACCTGAACCATCCCCACCCACCGCCACCCGAGCTTGGCCGAGCTTGTCCTCACCCTCAACAACTTCTCTTTCAACTCCTCTCATTTTCTTCAGGTAAGAGGAGTTGCCATGGGTACCCACATGGGCCCTAGTTATGCCTGTCTCTTCGTGGGGTACGTGGAACATTCCTTGTTCCAGTCCTATTCCGGCCCCCACCCACAACTCTTTCTCCGATACATCGATGGTATCATCGGTGCTGCTTCCCTCTCTCGTCTGGAATTGGAAAACTTCATCAATTTCGCCTCGAATTTCCACCCTGCCCTCACTTTCACCGGGTCTATCTCTGACTCCTCCTTTCCCTTCCTCGACATTTCTGTTTCCATTTCTGGGGATAGACTGGCCACTAATATCCATTACAAACCCACTGACTCCCACAGCTACCTGGACTATACATCTTCACACCCCACTTCCTGTAAAGACTCCATCCCATTCGCTCAGTTCCTCCGTCTCCGTAGCATATGTTCAGATGAGGCCAACTTCGACAAGGGAGCCTCCGAAATGTCCACCTTCTTCCTCAACCGAGGAGTCCTCAGCTCCGTTGTCGACAGGGCCCTCAACCAGGTCCGACCCATCTCCTGCACCTCAGCCCTCACCCCCTCTCTTCCCTCCTGCAACAGCGATAGGGTTCCCCTTATCCTTACCTACCATCCCACCAGCATCCACATCCAGAAGATCATCAGATGCCATTTCCGCCACCTCCAGCAAGATGCTACCACCAGACACACATTCCCCTCCCCTCCCTTGTCCACCTTCTGCAGGGACTGTTCCCTCCGGGACACCTGGTCCACACTTCCTTCACCCCCAACACCTCCCCACAGCCCTACGGCACCTTACCCTGTAACCGGCGAAGGTGCAACACCTGCCCATTTACCTCCTCCCTCCCCAGAATCCAAGGGCCCAAACACACCTTTTCAGGTGAAGCAACACTTCACCTACACTTCCAAGAATCTAGTCTACTGCATTCGCTGCTCACAATGTGGTCTCCTCTACATTGGGGAA